TACACAGTCAAATGCCTTTGCATAGTCAATGAAACACAGGTAGACATTCCTCTGGTACTCCCTGCTTTCAGCTAAGGTGCATCTAACATTAGCTAGCCAAAAGCTTGGCAACTGAATTTCATATGCTGCTCCACTAGAGAAATAGGTGGCAGTCTACGTCCATAAAAATTATTGCCTTGGACATTTTGGGGGGTTATTCTACCCTGTCCTATAGGACTACCAAGAGTCAGAATCAAACCTGATAACAAGACATTTTTGCTTTTTTTATGCACTGTAGGTTTTTACTTTTAAATGTATTCTAGTTATGGCTAAATTAAAGAGAAATCAACTAATAAAAAGGAAACACAGAGGCAGAATATCAGAATCTATTTCCTTCTGATTTGATAATAAACACATATTTTGGTCACCCAAAGCTCTGTGAACTTCTCAATATAGATTATTATTCTCAGATTAATTCTATAGATAAATAAACTTGATAAAAATTAATTACATGAATGCTTCAAATGAGCATAGACCAAATGAGCTCTGGGAGGATATCAAGAAAATCATCCATGAAGAATGCAAAATATCATTACAAAATCTGAAAAAGAAGAAAAGACCACGATTGATGTCAGATGAGACTCTGAGTATTGCATAAGAGCACCGAGAAGCCAAAGGTAAAGGAAGAAACCAAGAAATCAAAGAGCTGAACAGAAAATTTCAAAAGGCAGCGCGGGACGACAAAGAAAGATACTATAATGAAATGTGCAGAGAGCTAGAGTCAGAAAATCAAAAGGGCCGAACTCGCTCAGTGTTTCTTAAGCTGAAGGAGCTGAAAAACAAATTCAAGCCAGGGGTAGCAATACTTAAGGACACTTTGGGTAGAATATTAAATTATCCAGGAAGTATCAAGAGAAGATAGGAGGAGTACACAGAGTCACTGTATCATAAGGAATTGGCTGACACAGAAGAATTTAATGAAAGAATATATGAGCAAGAGCCTATGATGATGAATGAGGAAGCTGAAATTGCTCTGAAGGAATTAGCAAAAAAAAAAAACAAAACACACACACAAGGCTCAAGGAGTTGATGGCATACCAATTGATTTACATCATCAAACAGACGCAGCCCTGGATGTGCTCACTAAGTTGTGCCAAGAAATCTGGAGGACAGCCAGCTGGCCGACTGACTGGAAAAGATCAATATATGTTCCCATTCTAAAGAAAGGTGACCCAACAGAGTGCAGGAATTATCGAACAATATCATTAATATCACATGCAAGCAAGATTCTGCT